ATGATTTATTTTGTTGAATTATGCATTAGAAATATTTATGTTCAATAATAAAATAAAAGCCGATTTCGATTTCTAAAAATAACAGTTGTGTTGGGTGGACTACCCATAACAGTGGTATCCCTTTAAATGCTCAATGTTAGTTTGCTTCCCTTTTTTTCAACTCAAATAAAACAAAACACCCTATTCACTTAGTAATTTATTTTGCAGTAAAAATAGATCTGTGTATCTGCTTAGTTTTCTCCGGCCGATATAAACAATATTCCAGTTAATTTATATTCCATTCTATTCTATTTCATATTTATAGTAATTTTCCACACACTCACACACACCTTGCCATATTTTCACATTCACTACAAATAATAATAACAATAAAAACATAAATTATTTATGAATAGGAAAAAATAAAATTTCTGTCAGAAAGTTGATTAGTTTTGTTTTTCGGAGCATTCTTTTTTTTTTTTTTTTTTTTTTTTTTTGTTTACGAATGTAAAAATTTAATAAAGGTAAACAATTTTTCTATTTAAAATAATTTATTGTGTTTTTGCATTTCGAACAGGAAAAACCGAACGGAAATGAATGGCAATTTGCAGATGTGTTTTGTGTGTGCGTAAGTGAGTGTATGTGTGCATGTGTTATTGTAGAAGTAGCTTTCAGTGAACAGAAAAAAATTTTGCCATTTTTCCATTTAACAACATTCAATTGTTCGTAATCTGAACAGTAAGTTGTTATTCCCATGTTAAAATTAAAAAACAACAAATGCACTCACACACTCACTCACTCACACAGACAGTCCATTCGAAATTAAATATGCAAATTAAGGATTAAATAAGCAATTAAGACAACAAGTTGTCAATTAAAAAAAAATAAATAAATAAAATAAAAACGAAAAAATGAATGAAATTCCCCATTCGTAGAAACAAATACTTTATGTCATTATTTTGTGGTTTTGACCGAACATTTTAATTTGACTTTCTAATGAAACAATTAAAAATTGACAAATTGTATCGAATTAATTAAAATAGAAAAAAAGATATGTTGAACAAAATTTTGTGTGGTTTACAACTGAAATTTAATTACATTAACGTTTTCAAACTCAAATGTGAAATCATCAACAACGAAAGATGCTTCTTTTTTATCAAAGTCAATTTCAGAATATGTACTTTGTCGAATTACAATTAAAAACAACACTTAAGGGATTAAACCTAATAATTTTGCAACAACAAAATACTACGGCATTTCAACACTGTTCTATTATTATTAAATTGGAAATGTCGTAATTTAAAGAAGAAAAAAATAGAAATATAAAGACCTTTCTACAAAAAATACAATTAACTTTTTTAATTTCAATTAAAAGTCCCAGAAAAATCTCATTACATTTTTGTCCGCAGTTATTTTTTTACAAAACAGGCTACTTCCCCGGAATAGTTTCCGGAACATCCGAGTACAATTTTACAACACAAAGCAATTGTTCTAATTAAGAAGTAATAATTAACGTCGATATAGAGAGTATGGGCCCGACTACAAAACTCGAAGATTATGAGTCCGAGACTCGCCGTCAACACTTCTAATTATTTTTCGACTTTTAGTGACCACAGAATAAGTACTTTTCTTATTATCTTATTTCGTGAGATATGTCGGCGTAGTCGTAATGGATTAGTCCGTATATTTGTAAGTAGTTATGATCGACAATTTTTTTAGAAATTTTTGGTAATGTAATTTTTTGTCGGATAAAAATAACGGCTGATTCGTTTTAGACGAAATCCTTTTCAAGCTACATGTAGTCGATATAATAATGTTCTACTGTCCATGCATATATTATCAAAATTCGACCGAGAGCGAATACGGAAATCCTCGGTGAAATCCTTTATGTATATCCAAAACTCCCTCCCCCAGCAATCAGTCAGTGTTTTGAAAAATCCTGAATCGCTCGAAAAGCGAACACTAATTTAGAATTCGAATAATTCTTGTATCAAACCTATATCTGGTACAAACAATGGAAAATATCGTACTATTTGTTCTTTTATTAACATAAATCTTAAAAAAAATCTTCCCCAAAACTTCCACACTTTGGAGTATCGGGGCGGAAATTAGTAGGAGTGCAATAAAGGGATATATAGGTTGATTTTTTCTCGTACTCGAAAGAATCTCCTGATCCTAATAACATATGTAGAACTGCATAGAAAAATAATGTAAAAGACTGAAGCTAGAATCTTGAAACATTGCATGTCGGTAGATGTCGGAGTGCAGAAAACGAATCCATTGTATTGGGCAAACAGATAGAGCTAAAATTCTGAAATTTGGAATGAAGGTTGCGAATAGGTTGTCAGTATGGTACCTTATTTCAAATAAGCATTCCCAGCTCTGCATTTTCTGTCAATATAATTGCATAGAAAACAGGTTCCCATCTCTGATTTGTGATATGGATTCATGATACACATTTTGACAAGGAGATGTTGTCAAAGGAAGACTTGTAAGCATATACAGTGGGAGTGAACAAATTGCAACCAACTTCAGACTGTTTTCACTTCTACGCCACTCGTCCGACAGCTGTAAAAATTATTCCAGTGACAGCTCATTATATTGTTTACAAGCGTACAAAAGCATTTTGGTGGGAATTTTCCAGAAAAAAACTTATTCGTGATGGAATATAACAGTGACAGATTTATATTTGGCTGCAAAAACACAAGTGTTCAAGGAAGTGGACGGAAGAAAACAGCAGCAGAAATGGTTCGAAAAGTAAAGAAAATACCTGATCGATACTCGCGTCGCAGTGGCAGAATAATGGCTCGTGAGCCATCGCAATATTTCATTCAGCAAATATTGAAAAATGAGCTCGGTGTAAAGCCATTAAAATTCTAAAAAGTTAAAAAACTTACACCGCAACAGAAAGAAAATAGACTCAAAAGAGCTAAAGAGTTGCCGCTCGGCCAAAAGTGGTGAACTGCCGAATTTGGTTTTCTCCGATGAGAAAACCTTTCTTATCCAGCAGTTTGTAAACAAACAAAATGATTGTGTTTACTTGCCAAAGAGGTCAGCTGAAAATGTGCACCTTCGGTTGGCCACTAGAACTCAAACGCCGGCCATGGTGATGGGTTAGGCCGCCATAACAACCGATGAATGCTCTCCGCTCGTATTAATCGACCATGATATCAGATTAAATGCCGCAGACCTGGGACATTCCAACAGGACACAGCACCATCGCACTCAGCACTCGCCACCCAAGTATTGTTACAAAATGAGGTTTCTCGCTTCATTTCCAGCGCACAATGGCCGCCAAAAGCTCCGGATACCAATCTGTTGGACTATTGTGTCTGGAGTATTTTTAAAAGCAAGGTTGGCACTAAAAAAACCAAGGTGTCGATCATCTCAATGAATCTCTTCGCCGGGAATGGGCCTAAATACCGCAGAGCAACATTCGGGCAGCGTGTGACGGTGACCAATTCAAACAAATCTAAACTTTTTCTAAAATTTGATGCTATTGGCGACATTTTTTGCTTTCATTCAATAAAATTTTTAAAAAATTGTCATAGAAGTTATTTTTTAAAATAACTTATGGGGAGAATATCCCAGACAAAAAACAAGGGAACTTATGAGGATTGGTGGCTCTTTCCGAAACCTAGGTATTCCCTGCCTTACCTCCTGGTAAGCATTACCATCGTTCTCCACTAATAAACAAACGTTGTTTTAATAAAAACAACAATTAAGGGATAATGCCTGACCATTTTTCAACAACAAGATACTACGGTTTCCCGAACAAACAAGCCACACTGTTCTATTTTAAAAAAATTAAAAATTATGGCGTTTGACTTTGTTGCAGTTTTTTTATCCCACCATGTATATGCGAGACATATCTATATCATGTTTCTTGTAGGAATTTGGTCAGAATTGCCAAAATTCAGTTCATTATGGCTCATATTAGCCATGTGGTGTACAAAAAATTTGATATCGGGAAAAAATATATATGGGAGCGATATTCTAATCTGATCCGATTTCGATAAAAATTGACAGAGGTATTTTTGAACTCCATAAAATATCTGGGATATCATTCTTGTGGAGTGCATATTACGCATATGAGAGACTTAAAATCTCAAATCGAATGTATGGGAGCTATAGCTATGAGTATATCTTAACCGATTTTCTCCAAATTTGATGTATTTACTTCTAGACTAAATTCGGTCGGATTTGCCAAAATACAAAAATACATGGATGGACGGACGGACAGACTGAATGGCATGCATAAATCGACTAAAAAAGTGATTCTATGAAGATCTTCAAAAGTAACTATGGGTCTATCTCGATTCCTTCTCCATGTTACAAACAAATGCACAAAGACATAATACCCTTACCATTATGTGGTGTAGGATTTAAAAATTGCCGCCAGAAATCCCCGTTTTAATTTCAAACAGTTTCGAAGGTATTTTTAAAGCCCTTTTAATATTATTAGTGAATAAAAGACTAACTCTGAGTTGCATTCCCATACTTTTGCACCATAGTCTTTTCCAGGTGTAGATGATATAAATCAATGCATTTAGTCTCTATGAACTGAACTTCTGCATTCTCCTCTGTAAGTTTATAAATTAGGTAATAAAAAGAAAACAAATTATAAACAAAAAACGAATTGTTCATAGAAACAGAAAATAAACTAAGAACCAAAGAAGAAAGAAAACCATGAACTTAAAGAAAACAAATAAAACACAATTTTCTCTCTAAACTATTTCCTTTCGTTTATCGTGCCATTTGGCGGCTTTGGTGGAAATGCATTTTTCATTTTCACACTTTGTTTACAAACAACAACGATTAAAATGAAAAAAACACCAATTGTGTTTATTTCTTTTTCCACTTTTTTATTATTACATGATCCTCCTGCTGGTGTTTTCATTAGCCAACATATGATCGCTGAGAGACCGGGGAAAGAGAGAGAACAATTTTCGAAATTGAGAAGATTGGTGGCTGCGCATCTATCGCAAGAAACACCAGATGAAAAATGAAAATTAAGAAAATTCGAAATTCTCGACGTCGTGGAAAACTTTTCAACACACGGCCTGGTGTGGTGTCCCAAAAAGCTTTTCCGAAATTTGATCAAATCCTAAGGAAATTGTTCAGTTGCGAGCGGACCTCTGCACGGAGTAGAACAAAATAAAAGTGAAAAAAGAGAAGCAAAACGAATTGATTTAGTCCGCGGAATAATTTTGTGAATATTTTTGAAGAAAAAAAAAAAAGAAATTCCTATTGAAAAAAAAATTATCAGAACTGGCCAAAAACAGAAGAAGAACCCAAGCGTTACACATAAATACATATATGCATACACATATGTAATTGCCATAAAGAAGAAAATATTATATATATTTTTTAAAAAGGAAAAATATATTTTTTTTCTACAAAAATATCTGTGCATATATGTAGTTATGTATTATAAAGAAGAGGAAAAAAATTAAATATATATCGCATACGAAAAAAATAAGAAAAAATTTCGCCTTCTGGCCATACGATTCTAAAAATATATATTAGATAGACCCATACAATTTAAATAAAATCCACCAATACTCGCACACACACACACCCCTACAAACGCACATGCACAGCCGTGTGAGAGTGTCAAAGAATAGAAGAATCTAAGCAAAATTTTGAATAAGAAATAAAAATAAATAACGAAGCGAAGGAAAAAAAATTGAAAACGAGAAAAAAAAGAAATATTTTTAAACGCCAACCAAGTGAAATTTTTGCTGTGAAATTTCTAAGTGAAACGGAACCAAGAACCCCCAGTTGACAAAACTCAAAGAAAACAATTTAAAGCGTTTTTTTGTTGTTACCGATTTTAATTTCTATTCTTTTTCTTTGTGGTCCTTTACCATTCCCTGGTCTCCCCCTTCTGTTCTTTTTTGCAGTTTTTTAGTTTTTATTTCATTCCCTCCCTCTAACTGAGTTGCGTTGCGTCTTTTTTGCGTTCAAAACTTTTCGCCGATGAATTTCATTTCTGGTTAAAGTGAAATTAAGTTCTACACAATTCTATGATTTAATTTGAAAACGAAGAGAAGAGAAGATAAAGGAGAAGTAGAAGAAGAAGAAGAAGATTAAATAAAAATAAAATAGATATCGAAATTACGTTCGCTCGTTCGTGCGTAAGGAATATAAAATGCATTTTCCGCGTTTAAAATCTTTACTGACTTTGGTCATTTGTTCGCTGTTTGTGCTGAGTTTCCCCGAAAATGTAAACTGTGCTAACAACAAAAAAGCATCACCGAGCGTAAATTCAGCTCCGGCCGCACCTGTTGAACCCGAGGCCGTCATCGAAGAAGTCACTGCCAAGCAATTGGAGAAGCTATTGAATGACAAGGATTATGTAGCGGTCTTCTGGTGTAAGTATCCATCCAACCCAATCAACCATCCAAACCACACACCCACCATTCATCCATTCACTCATTAATTTGACCAACCTTAAGCTCTGCATAGATTTTCTCGATGAAAGAAAAGTTGTCTGTTTTCTTCTTCTTCGTGTTCTCCTTTCTTGTGTCTTTCGAATGGTCTTTTGTTCAGAACACGTTCATCACCACACCACATCCCAGTGATTATATAAAGCGAAGAGTTTTCTCAAGTGGAAATGAATTTCTCTTTTGTGTTTTTGGCCTCACATTGTTGTTGTTGTTGTTCTATTTTGAATATTTACGTTAGAGACTGATAGACGCACAGACGGGACGAATGAATGGATAAGCAGTGTAGAAATCTTCTTTTGCTCATCTTCTTCATTGAGCAGTTGTTTAAATTTTCTTTTGTTGTTGTTGCTCTTGTTGTTGTCGTCGTTCTTGCCATCGCATATGGGACACAAATTTCAACAACAAAAGCAACAACAACACCATGAACAGCAGCAGCAACGGTGGCAACAAGAAGAACAAGACCAATCAAATGAGCAAATATCTCGACAATGGTGTCAACATTGTGGAATAGGGGAAAAATCGCCAAATTTAGGGGAAGAGTTGGGGGATGGGAGAAATTGAAAATAAGTTAGACTGGAGTATTGGGCAATTTTTTGCTTATAAGGAACACATTTGGGAGCAAATACAGGAAAGCCACTGATTTTCTAGTCTCTAGAATGTTTGAAATTAGCGATGAAAAAGGAGAGAATTGAATTGAGGCACATTATTTGGAAATAGTAAACTGCGAATCCTTTAACTAGCTTATATAAGCCAGGATATATATGAAGGGTTTATATGAAGCCAAATATTATTCAGATTATTATTATTAAATATTATTATTAATTATTATTCAAATTATTATTATTATTAAATATTATTCAAAGATCGGAAATGGTGACCGAAAACAAGGGCCTATTAACACAAAATCTTGGAATTTATATCTTATAGCTCTCATCTCATAAAACGAATCCTATCGTCCTTCGATGTTTACTTCCAAGTTAAGTCCGTTTTTTGTCAATAAGTTTCGCCAACGTACAATAATATTGTATGGGCACTATATCAAAGCCTGGAATATACAGAAATTTTCTGAGATTTGGCTACCTATAGAGATTTTTGTTTGAAAATATTTTCAGAACACGGACGGACCGCTATTGAACAATTTCGTGCAGCCAATTTTCATCCATAGAGAATACCAAATAATAACTATAAATGTCGAAAATCAGGACTGGTTTATTAGCAACTAGTTGATTCAAAAATTTCGTTATATTGCGAGTGAGTGAGTTTATGCAAATTTCTCCTTCAAAGCATAATTTTAGAAGGATTACATCAAAGACAAAATTATTCCTCATCAAATTTCACTGTAAGTCATCAAAGAAAAGAATTTTGGATTTTTCTTATATATCAAGATAATGTTTTCATCAATATTGTCAAAAAAAACGCGAAAAAAATGTTCTGATCAATTTTTTCTCAGTCTTTTTGGAGTTGATGCATGAAATTAACATAAAGTTTTATTCTAGGCAGAAAGTGTTGAAAGATGAAATATTCTACAGAAGATTTCATAAAAAATCTTAGAATAAACTATGTATCTAGATTTTATAGTTTTCACGAAAATTTAATTCGAAATGTATGTATTAAAAGTTAAAGTTACGTTTTTTCTGCTAATTTAACACATTTTTATTCTGAGCCAAAATCCCCTTTAAAACTTCAGTTTTTGGAGCAAGTGTCAAAGGAAGAATAATTCTATATCAAATTTCACTGGGAGTCTCTGAACAAAAGAAATTTTTATACCTAAAATTTATCATATAATAATACCATCAATTTTGCTATGAAACCCCAGTTTTCTTTTCGACCAAATTGTGGATGTTTTTCGAATTGCCTGCATGTTTTTTAATAATTTTACCGTCCTATACCACGGCTTGATTGTGGAAAATTTCAAGAGCATTTGATGGCACTTAGTTTATGGATTAAAATTCCAATAGATTTTCGGGCTCTTAGGCCAAACTATTTTAAGTGGACTGATATATTTCGTAATCTTATCAGAGCTTGGTTAAATGAAATATTTATATATACCAAGCTAGAGAAGAAACACTGGTACTTTTCGCAAATTATGAAAAATTGGGAGAAGGTAGCAAAGGGGTTGGGCCGATATTTAAACAAAACCACGCTCTAGAAAAAATATTGGTATTTTTAAAATTAAATTATTATATTATATATAATTATTAAAATTTTTGATCCTTTGGGGGGAGGTACGAGAAGGAGTGGTCCGACATATTCCATCTTCGCAACAGTGCTTGTGTTAATAAAAATATTAGAATGTGAGAAATTTAAAAAGAATCTGGTGATTATTTTGCATTTTATAAGACATATAATTATTCATAGTTTTGTCCCGCTGTTTGGCAGGTACCACCATCCATCTTTACACCGGATCTTGCGTTACTAGAAATATGGGGATATGTGTAATTTGAAGAGAATAAGATTTCTAATTCGCATTTTATGATCGTTTTGGTTATTTAAAATTTTGAGGGGGAGGTGCCAGCAGGAGTAGTCCGATCTCTACCAGCTTCTCTACCGATCTTGTGTTGATCGAAGTATTTGGTTGTGCTGAGCTTGAAAGGAATCGCATGCGCATTTCGAGTTTTATGAGATTCATGGCTATTCAGAATTTTGACCCCTAGTGGGGTTGGTATCAAAATGAGTGGTCCGATCTCTACCACCTTCACTACCGATCTTGTATTGATAGAAAATTTTGCTTGTGCCGAACTTAAGATTCTATTCAGAATTTTGAGCCGTTGTGGGGGAGGTGCCAGAAGGAGTGGTCCTATATTTGTCATCTTCTCACCGGACCTTATTTGTTCCTCCCCTTTTATGGAGGAGGCACCAAATCTAGACTGATGAAAACATTAGGATTTGCAAATTTGGAGCAAAATCGGATGATCCGTTCTCTTACTATGATGTAAAACATTTTCTTTAAAAAAAATCGAACTTTTGTGCGGGAGTTACCAGAAGGAGTTGGGCGATATTACCCATTTCCGAACTCGATCCAAGTTTGATAATAATATTACGATGTACCAAGTTTAGACCGAATCAGATACTCCCTTCGAAAGTTATAGTGCGTGTCAAGCAGCAGACAGACGGACATCCATAAATCGACTTTAAATGTCCAGAAACGGATTTGGTGCTAAGAGATCTAGGGTCTGAAACCGTTATTTCGATGAGGCACGTTTTGGCCATATTAAATGACATAAACCCTCCGTAGCAATATGGAGTTATAAAAATAAAGAAGTTAAAAAGTACCACTCTTTTTGCCGACATATATATACCCTCAGCATATTTATTTATTAACAAGAATCGATCTCCGAACTTGATCTCCGAACTCGAATAGTATGATGTAAAAAGTTTGGACGAAATGGAATACTCTCTTCGGATCGGCTCCATTTGTCCTGAAATGAATTCAGTCCAAAAACACATATTATATAAAATGGTTCTATGAGGCCCGTTTTGGCTGTTTAAAATGATATATGCCCCTATAGCTGAGGGTATAAAAAATCAAACCAGAATTTTTAAATCAGGTTTATTATCTCAGCGAACCCAACATGTTTAACCCCGACTTATTTTATTTCAAAATATATCTTAAGCCTCAAAAATAGTTGCACTTAGAAAGAGACTACACTAAAATGTGGGGGTTCGTTCACCTAGAGCCTTTTAATTAACAACTTCAAAAAATCGACATCGAAAATGTGTTATGGCAATATTTCCCATTGCGTAGAGTACCAGGCTCCTTACAGACATTATTTTTAAAAATCTATCAAAAAAACGCCAAATAGTTAACACTGCAAGTCAGTCTGTCTGTGTGTGTGTTGGATGCTGTCTTTGCGGGGCAAAAAAGCCTGTTTGCTAGGCAGATAGCGAGGCAGGCAGCATTGCTTTCTTTTCTTTTTCGCATTTTTGGCGGCTACAATGGAAGTGTGATGAAAGACGTGCAAGTATTCAAAGTGAATGCTTAACAACAAAACACACACACACAGACAGACAGACAGACAAACACAACAAAACACAAAGGCAACGCATAATAGACAAATAAATGGGACAACGGCATCGGCGGCAGCAGCAGTAGCAACAAGTGTAGAATTTGTGCTACTGCCACGGCGGCATCACTTATTGTTTGTCCTATTTTCACATTCCCTTGTGCATCCGTTTCTCTTTCTTCTTCTCGTTTTTGTTGTTGTGTTTTTTTTTTTCTTCTTCTTTAATTTTTTTCTCTTCCGTTTCTGAGGCATGCACAAAACACAACAGAATAGAAATTAATAATGAATAAGCGAATGTTAGTCGCCACAATACACGATTTCGTACTTTTTGCCTTTAATCCGAGAGAAAGTCTGTCAAACAGACACTGGCAGATATGGGCCATCAAAAAAGAAAACAAAAACGAAACAGAACAAAAAAATCGGAGCATTCCTGCAGGTTATGAATTTAATTTCATTGAGATTTGACAGTTTGACAAAAAGCCTCTTCGGGAGCGCAAGCAGCAAAACGAAACAAAACATAAAAAAGTATATCAAAACATGATAAACGTGCTTCGTAGCTATCTCTGCCTTATGTCAGATCAGAATTCATTAGTATGTCAAGGAAACAATTCCCCTAGGGCTAGCAAACACACTGACAAACACACACACACTCTTCGAGAATTAGAAGAGATTTCTTCTGGCAGCTGGATATTAAAAGTAAATTAAAGTAGGAAAGTAAAATAACATTAAAACAACAACGACTTAAAGTTAAGAACATTTCCCCCAACCCCGCCAAAAACCAGAAACCTCATTTACCCCCCTCCAAACATTTGCTGATGAATAGCCTCAATAATTACCGACAAAGAATTCAAATAAACGGAATTTCATAACAATATTCTGAATTTACTGGCCCCAATTCAAATAATAAATTTATTTAACTGC